CTTTTATCTCGAGATCATAGTACTCGTTAAGATAAGAATTTAAGTAGCACTAGTTAGCATCTGAATTCGCATATCCGCTATTTACGCTAATGCGCAGGAAATTATAGTAAATCGTATTACATATTTAGCATATAACTAGCACACATGCTAAGTTCCATTCTTTGCCAGAACTATTTACCCTTCCATCTTCCTAGTTACTTAGTCTCCAGCTTAAACACTTGATCAGACTCTTACTATACCCGCTACTTTGTTAGCATGAAGTTCATGTTCTCTTTGATGTAGCCCGTTCTTGGATGAGTTCGTCCAATTGTTGCTGCATAATATGGATTTTCCTTGTAAAAGGGCTGCAACTCTCGCTTTCTCTGCCTCGCTTCTTCCCTCTTTGATGTCTTTGCTCTTGTGTCCGCCGAGGCAAGGCTTCTTCTAATGTATCTACATCACTTCCCTCAGGTGTCGCGCATTCTGGCGTCCTTGTAGTGACGTTGTCTGGGCAATAGCTAACTCAGGACGTACTACTTGAGGCATATTGTGCAGGTGCTAGACTGTGATCTAAAACATCCTCTTCTCTAGTCAACGTAAACTCGTGCCACATATGACTATTCGCGAGGTATCGGTCGATAAGATCGGGCTGAAGTTTTGCAGGAAAGCCATGCTTAAGCGCGTATGCACTTGCATGCGTAACGGGTCAGTGACCTGTCTGAAAAGCAAGAAGCTGGAGAAAGCCGTTATAATCTTTTGGTGTGCTAGGGTTGAATGGTGTAACAAGGCCTGGGAGATGTTTCTTAGCGATGCTCACTGCGGTTTGCCTATACAAACTGGTATTCATAGGAACAGAACACCCAGCTGTTACATTTCTTAGGCTCGAGTGGGCCTGTTCTGATGAGAAGCATGAGGTCGCGCTTTCGTGTGTGCTGAATAAGTGAGGGTTTGTTGAGTTGTTGGACAAGACGCCTAGATTTCGGCTAATAAGGCTGCGGAACGGGCGGATATACACGAGGTACACGTAAAGGATCCTCTGTACTATGGGGCAGGGAGACCGCACGATATAAAAGGAATTATTGGTGTTGGTGTTTGCTTTGTTGTACGAAAAAACAAGAATCACCTTTCCTTTGTAGACGAAGATATTTCGCCGCACAGAAACTGTGTCAGCCCAGCGTAACACCCTAAACTCTTCTCCGCGTGCTAGCATGCCGTTCGTCATGTGCATTGCCGCATAGAGTAGACAAATAAACTGGTCGCTTTTTTGAAGGTACTGTTTTAGTTTGGCTCTCCCTCTTCGTGTCTCTAATAAAAACCCGCCTTGCTCTAAGAATGCAAGTCTGCTTATAGCCTGAAAAGATCTTTGGAGTTTATTGGCTAGGTGTGTTAAAAACGAAAACCCTAGGCGGTGAGTCGCAAGATTATCTTGCACGGCATTAAGTTAGACATCTAGCCACTAATGAAAAAGGAGGTCTTAGGTAAGATTTTGCAATCCTACTACGACGCTATGGATCGTTTCGCGGAATTGCCGCATATGAACCTAGGTGTCTGCGATATATAGCGTTAAGCCATCTAGCGACCATGATATGTTTGTTCGGGGGCCCTCGCGCCTAGCAATCGCTCGTCCATGCTAAAGCCGTTCAATGAGGTATCCAGCCGGCGCAAGGCTTCCTCGCTGAAGATATTTAGATCGGATATGCTCACGCAATCGCTGTGC